TTTTGGCGATTATTTTGATACTCGCAAAAGCAAATGATTTGGAAGCATGACTGTTGAAAGGGGGAAGAAAATATGCATCAAACTGTCTTTAGACAGTTTACCCATCTTTTCCACATGTTTTTATGACAGCTCGAAAGAAGAACTTTCGGAATGGCTTAAATTGAAATCATCTTCTCAGTTGCAAAAGGCATGCAAGGGAATCTAGAAGAACAAGTGTAAGTGAAGCGAAGTGAAGTGTACAAAGCGCAAACAAGAGCGATTGCAAAATATAAATTTAGACTTCCAAAGTAACGCAGATGTCTGACCTTATCACAATTCGGATAAGGCGACAGATTTTCCGAATTACTACGGCGTACTTTCACTGGTAATCGCCTCCTGCCTGATGCTTCTTACAAGTAGTTCTTGAGAAAAACATGATTTCTTACACCATGAATGATTTCATACATCAAGAAGGGTAGCTGAAGATAATATAATAATCAGTTTCACGGAGGTTTGCTTAAAATTCACGTTTGGGTGCTTCTGCCTTGTGAAAATCGTACTTTTTGATCCAAAATCAGAAAGGCGGAGGGAGCCAAGTTTCGCTGGAGGAAACAAGGTTAAAATTCACCAAAAGTTGCTAAAAATTCACTTTTGTTCGTCCGCCTTTACCTCTTGGAAATTCTACAGTCGAGTAGATTTAGCGGTAAATATAGTGCGCTTGCACAGAAGGTGAAATGCGGTAAAATTGGCGCGTGAAGAAATGATTTCGACTATGACGCCGGCCAACTGCGCGCGCAAAATACCCGCGGTATTGACGTGGCTACTTGTTCACGCGCAAATTTCACCGCATTTCACCTTCTGTGCAAGCACACTATATTTACCGCCAAACCTACTCGACTGTACTTTGGCTTTGCAAAAGCAGAGGAACCCGCTAAAAGAAAAGACGAAAGGGCTCTAAACGGCAAGACTGTTTCGGTAAGAATTTCAAAATGTATTTCAATTCTGAATCTTACAAAAAGTTGCCCGAGATTAACTTTTGGCTCCTTCTACTTTCAAGAACTATAGTTCTGCCCTTAAAGGCAGCGTCCAGGCAAATCTGGACATACGGGGTTTTTAAGTGGGAAGCAATTTTGGGGCGCTAACTAAGACACTGCCCAGGCGGCAGCTGAAACGGTGAACTCACAGTTGAGATATTCGCCTCCAGACTGTACCTCGGGATTAGTTATTATAGCCTAGTAGCAAGTTTTTCTTTTCATAACTTCGCAAGATTCGCAATCGGAAAGAAAAGGTCATTGGCATAAGTATGCCAACCAAAAGCACAAAATATGACTGACAAGCGAACAATGTTTAGTTAGGATGGCCTCTTTAGATGGGGTGTATACCATTTGCAAAGCATAAAACGCTGATTTCAAATTTACCTTACTTACTGCGCAAATTCATAGACGAGGAGGTGAGCTTTTATTGAAACAAAAAATTACAAGTGCATTTTTTTCTAGTGCTTGAAGGTAGCGTCCAGGCAAGTCTAGACACATGGGGTTCTCATGTGGATAGTAATTTGGGGGCCCTAAATAAGCCACTGCCCAACCAGCAGCTCAGGTAGTGCTCTAAAGGCTGAGACGTTCGCCTCGAAAGCGGATCCCGCGATCGTATTTCACATGGTCATGGCGCGACACGCGTGGTCCTCGCGCGAAACTGCCATGAATCCATGCGAATACGGTCTCAAGGTCCAGTTTGGAGGCGAATATCTTAACTATGAGCTCACCATTTGAGCTGCCACTTGGGCAGTGTTTTAGTCAGAGCTCCAAGATTACCCTCCAGGTGAGATCCGCATAGGCCCAGGTTTGTCTGGATGCTGCCTTCAACACGTTTCGGATCGCGAAATCGCGCGCGGCAAAAAAGAGTACACTTTCAGCCATTAGCCAACAAAGGGACCTTATTTCGCAAACTGTGTCCTACATCTGTGATCAGCTTGTCAGATAAGTTCCATACACAAGGTTCCGAGTGGATTCAAAGTGTTTGAATTTTGTCGCTTGTGAAGGGCTTCTGTTTTCCTGGAAGATAGGAACAAGAACTCAGTTTCTAATAGTATCCAAAAGTATCATGTTGTAGACGGTACACATCAGTATTGAAAGTACGGTTTTTCTCTTTGATATCGAAGCAAAGGAAAGTTGCGACGTCGCACGCGTCGTTCGCGTTGCCGCACTTCGTTGCAACTGTTGTTCGATTTGTGCTCATATTTCCTAAACAAATATCGGTGGCACAACTCTACAGAGTCAATTAAAAAGTAGAAGCTTAGGCCTTTGACATGATAACCTTGAACTAGAAGAAAACCTCCTGTAAACGTCAAAAAGATCCTTCAAAACAGGGTGCTGCACCATGCACCGGCGAAAAGTGTTAGAGCAGAAAAGCACAGGTTTGGTCTCGAAGGAAGGACAGACCCATGAGCTTCATGCGACAATAAATATTTGCCAAGATTTTTGGCCCTTTTGCTTCGCAAAAATCACACTTCGGCCCCTGAAAGCAAAAAAGCACAACGAGCTTGGTCTAGAGGGAAGAAAAAACTCATAGGCTTAGACAACCTGATATTTTCGTCAAATAATTATAGTTGTCAATGTTTAATCATGCAGATGCTTGCAACTCATATTTGTCCTTCTACTTCAGAAAAACCATACTTCAGCCCTTCTACTTCGAAAAAAGCATATCTTGCCCCCAAAAGCAAAAAAGCACGAGGAGCTTGGAAGGAACGACCCAGAGTTTTATGGCAGGACAGTTTCTCTAAGATTGCTCCTCGAAACGCATTGAGCCAGCTTCAGCCTCGTTCTAAAAAAATGAGTCGGTTTATTGGCAAGACATCATAGAAAAGAATATTTTCGTTTTGAGCTAGTTTCATGAATCCTGTAATAGCTGCTTCCTTTTTATCTATATATTTGGGTTTTTCTGCTGCTGGAAGTAAGTTGATGTTTTCTGGGGCATGGTACTTTCCTGGAAATCAACCTGAGTTTTGGGATGATTCAGCTGTTATAGAAATGGCATATAGAAATGACAGGGAAAGGTTGTACAAGGAGAGGAATGGGGACCATTATCATAGTGCTTTGACAGGGCCGGGCGGAGCCGGGTAAGCCAGCTAGGTGGTGAATAAAGAGAGGAGGTTATCATCTCGTTAATCAATAGCTGTAAAAGCGGTGACACCAGTAAACCTTGTAACACTAGTAAACTGCTAAAATGCTAACACTAGTAATCTGTAATGAGGGTTATGACCGAAGCCTTTGGTAGAAGAAAAAAGGTCAGATGTCAATCATGCAAAACAGAGAGACCTACAAAAAGAAGGGAATTTACGAACAGTCTCCGTGCAAAAGGAGACGGGCGCAATTAACGTATGTGAGGCTCATTTGCAATCACTCACAAAACATCTGTTTGATGTTCATCCGTTCCTAAGACTTCGAAAGCAAACTGCAAATTCGGGCAACCATGCTTTTCTTTGAGAACTCGACAGAAATTCAGAGTTTTCAAATCGGCGGTTGAATTGCAAATCAAACGAAAAATGCGGGCGCCACAAAAAGACTCGCAAGATCTTCTGCAGGTAAGTAAAAAACCTGAAAATTGTATATAAAGTAGCACTTTGTAAGAAGCAACATTTGCAAATATTCCAACCTCGTCCAGCATCGATCCTCTTCTGCAAGCAATGAAGTCATTTGTTGTCGGGGAGTTTTTCCTATGTACTTTCGGCAACATGTTTCTTTTCTTTGTCTTTCCATTAGATTTTTTAAGGAGAAACTAATCCTTTGACTCATTTAAGCTTCTCTCGTGCTTTTCTCAGTTTTCTCGGTCCTTTTCTGTCATCGTAGCTGATGCAACTGCTCTTTATTCATTTGCGATACATCCTGAGGGGTATTAGTTCAATTCTTTTTCCTGATCATTTCAAGGGATTTGCAAGTAACAATTATCCTGTAGATAGGAATTACTGAACACAGTGATTTTTTTTAGTAAGTTGTGCTTTCGAGTATTATGTTCACGTGATAATTCCGCCCAAAAAGATGGGATTTTTAAGCTCTTCACTTCTAAAGACCTTTTTTGCAAAGATTAACAGGAAACGCAAATATTTTCACAATTTAATCAGCAAGATAAGCAGTAGGTGTATGTATGTACAGTAGCAAACTAATTGGCTGGTAAAGTTAAACTGAATTTTATATCATTTGCTAACACATAAACGAACATGCACTTACTACATTTGGAAGTAAAAAATTTCTCTATGCTCTGCATTTTTAACCACAATCAAAAGCTACAGTAGAGTGCACATACAGGGTCGGTAAATTTCTGACCTCGAGCGCTTCCGATTTAGATTTGATACACTTCTAGCGTTATTGTGCTTGCCAAATCTTGTAAGCATAAAATCGACAAGAAACAAACCTTCTTTGCGGTTTCTTCAATCCTCTATAAGGCTAGAGCACGGCTGATGCACCTTTCCAAGAAAAATTTTGAACGCGTAGAGAACTTTGTACGCTCCTTCATCTATTTTCACTTAGTAGGATTTTCTTCGTAAAAATGTGCTCACTCCAAACTCTGCCACTCTTATTCACCATTCAAATTTTCCGAAAAATCTCAATGAGAACCTACATGGCAGCTGCTAATCTTGTGCGCAAAAAAGGAGTATGCAGAGGGAGAGAGAGAGAGAGGGAGAGAGAGAGAGAGGAGAGAGAGAGAGAGTTACAATTACCACGTTCGGTAACAGACAACGGAAGATTATTTCCCATTTTAGCGGCGAAGAAGGGATTTTTTTGCAGTACCGGTACCTTCTAGCAGGCAAATTCCTTGTAGATTTAGTGGTCTCTCTAACAAACCACGATATAACTAAAAACGTACAAGGCTTTCAAAGACTAGAGGTCACAAATCTACCATACTTTTATGAACCATTCAATGAGGATGAGTTGGAAATATGAACACAATTCTTAGTGACAACAAAAATCAACAATGTGGCAAGTAGCATTCAAACACTTACACAGAACTACAATAACAACTCTGTGCTAACCCAATCCTAATCTAGATTGCAAAAAAGCTTTCTCTTCCCGTAAGTTGCGGTTATTGGCCGCGAGAATTCTGAAAAAATTGATTAGGTAATTGTATGATAATAAGCGGAAGCAATAAACTTACCCAAAAATTGTTTTGAAATGTGTTGGCACAATCGGATCCTCCCTTACCCTTTCAAAGAGCTTCATCTCCCATTCTTCATCATTGTCGTTTTCTGCCTGAATTTAACAGAATCAAGGATTATGTATGAAGTATGAATCGAAATGGCCTTCTTACTTCCACAATCTCCGGTGATTTCACCGATTCAGGCTTGAATGAAGGAAGAACATTATCTTCATCGGCTTGAGATGGCACCTAAGAGACGAGACGTTATGACTGACAATGAAGATTGAGTTACTTTATTCAACACAAAAAAAAAACATTTTGAAAGGGACCAAAATTTTTGTGTGGACTTTTTGACACCTGGCATGAAAACGAGCTCACCCTATTGGAAGCGCCAGGCTGGAAAATGATGTTTAGAAATAAATATAATTGTTCGTGGCTATGCTTCCGCAACAAAGCTTCACCTGCGCACATAATTTTATTTGTGGAGCAAAAATAAAGGTCATTTCTGGTCAAGTTGCCTCAATCAGTTCCAGTACATTCCACATAAGAACACATAACCTTTGATTAAACTGGCTTGGCAATATTAGGGCGGGGTTTTGTGATCTAATTGAGGCCGCTCGCGCCTGCGACGCATCTGCGTCTCTCTCGCGCGAGTGCTCTCTGATCATTACCTAGCCTTAATTAGGTCACGAAGCCCCGCCTTTGCCGATGCCAAGCCAGTTGAATCAAATGGTATGTTTCATAGCGGAGGACTATGCGAGAATGGGCTGGGGAGGATTGGGAGGGGGGAGGGGTTCTGCAACAAAGAAAGTTCGCTTGGTTAAGTGCATTTCGGAAGGTGATGCATACCTATGGATAGAGCTTAAAACGCTGATTTCAAATAGCTTCTATATTGACATATAGCGAAGCGTCATAAAGCAAGTTATGGGTTTTTTTGTACTTACAATGGAAGTATGGGAAGGGATTGGCGACCCATGAATAACAACATGGATGGACAACATTCGAAAGCGTTCAGTTGCATCGGATTAGATATAATGCTTACTAGGTGATTTGCCTGAGCGTGCATACTTTCGGGTGAAAACTACCGTAACTTTACGCTCAAAAATACACGAAAATTTGGCATAAGAAAAGGTCATAACGTTTTTGTAAGAAAAACGCATCGCAGATAAAGAGGATCGAGCATCAGCGAAAGCTCTATCCATGGGTATACATCACCTTCCAAATTGCCATTTCGATCAAGCGAACTACTTTTTCAAAGCTCAGACTGAGATCAAACTCTTAGAACTGGAAAGAAAAATTTTGCCAACGTCAGCACTAAGGAAATGAACATGGACCACTACTCTCGATAGCGACAATAAAATACACAGAGTCCAGAGGTAGTATGAAGGTAAAGCATAGGGTCCTGACATGTAAAAAAGGTTACTGAATGAGCAATGGTTTTGACATCTTTAATAGATTAGCTAATTGAGAGCTTCAATCCTTTGAAATATTCAAGTACCAATATTCTCCAAAGAACTACAAAGCTCTGCTGCCTTAAAGGCAGTGTCCGGGCAAAAACTCGATTTCAAAAATTCGCACTTATCCAGGCCCATTCGTCATGCTGAATCCGAAAATCCAAACCTGAAAGCGAAAACGGCCAAAAAAGGGGAACAGCCAGTGGGTGGGATGCTCCTCACTGTGAATTCATGCTCCCAGCTTCCGGAGCGGCCTTCTCGATTCCGCTAGCCGTCCTTGCATCGCGGGAGGCGTACACGTGGTAGCCGGGCAGCCGATTGTTGCCGCAGCCAGCCGCTGGAGCTGCCGGCATATCGCCGCAGATAATACAGTAATTAAAGGCTACTGCATGACGAAGGCGCAGAAGCAGTATTAGTTGAGCGGGAGCAAACGCGACGCGCGCGTATCCTCTACTGTTGTAAATCGTGAGCCTCATGCGCTCTGCGGCTAGAATAGCCATATTCGCGCACAAAGGTATTGCGCCCTCGCGCAGCATCATGCAGCAACCTACATGTTCGTCGTCTGGACTCCTGCCGAGAAATTTGCCCGCATTGGTCGCGCAGGGGTGCGAATCAGCCCCAGAGGTAGTGTGATATCCTTGATATCTAAATCATTCTAAACGGCAGGAATTCGTTGTTTTGGAAAACAATCCAATGGTGGAGTCTAAAACTATACCGGAAAGTTTACAAAAATTTACAAATACATTGAAAATTGAATGGTTTTTTCTGTTGCAAATTTTGACATCAACGCGGTTTTGTTGAAGCGTCCATTAAGGATGGTTATTTTGCTTCTTCTCAATTGAATCACCTATCAATTCCCAACTGGTCGTGTTTTAAAATTTTCCACCGTTTTTCATTTTCTCAGATTACGTGGGGGAAGTGGTCAATTTTATAAGCCTAAGGATCTCGTGGCAGTTGTGTAGATTAAAATAAGATATTTTGACTTGGTGATCTACGCTGTCCCTTATATATCAGCTTATCAAACTTTCATCTTTTATCACCGACCTATCTAATTTTTTTGACCTACTTTGGCGTATCTAACTCGCTTTTTGACTAATTTTTTCTTACTGTTGAAGAATTAATAATTTTGACGAGTTTTCTTACTGTTATATATTAGGTTGGTCCGAAAGTTCTTGCGCATCATTTTCAAAAAATCATAACTTCCTTGCCACTCGATGGATTTCGTTGAGATTATTCCTGTTCGAAAGAGGAATCCATGCTCTTTACCGCTGTACCTTCGACATGAATTACTTTGAGAAACTTCGAGAGTTACAAGCAACTGAAGGAAATCAGTCAAAATTGGCATTTTTCGAGCTGGGTCACGAAAAATTCTGGAAGTACTTTTATATTATAGAGAAAATTATGCTCATTACAATGGTGCTTTTCTGATGAGTTGAAACGAAAAAGATCGAAAGTTAGGAGCAAACAAAGAGAATTCCTTCAGTTTTGTAATTTTTTAGCATGGTCAAAAAAGTCCAGAAACGTCACAGAAAATACGAAAAAGCCATGAACGTGGGTTTTGTGACCTTCTCATCTAGCTGAGCAACTTTCGAGCTAATCGAGAGCAATTTTGTTTTACGTGATTTTTTCGGATTTTCGGGCCTGCATTTTTCACGAAAATCAAAATTGCTCTCGATTAGCACGAATTCCGCTCAGCTAGAAAGAGAAGATCACAAAACCCACGTTTATGACTTTTTCATTTTTTCTGTGACGTTTCTGGGCTTTTTTGACCATGCTCAAAAATTACAAAACTGAAGGAATTCTCTTTATTTGCTCCTAACTTTCGATCTTTTTCGTTTCAACTCATCAGAAAAGTACCATTGTAATGAGCATAATTTTCTCTATCCAACAAAGATACTTCCAGAATTTTTCGTGACCCAGCTCGAAAAATGCCAATTTTGACTGATTTCCTTCAATTGCTTGTAACTCTCGAAGTTTCTCAAAGTAATTCATGTCGAAGGTACAGCGGTAAAGAGCATGGATTCCTCTTTCGAACAGGTATAATCTTAACGAAATCCATCGAGTGGCAAGGAAGTTATGATTTTTTGAAAATGATGCGCAAGAACTTTCGGACCAACCTAATACATTGATATATTCCTTGATTGTATCTGTTCTCCGACGTTAAAAGCGAGAAAATAAGACTTTTTAAAAAAATGAAGATTTTGAGTTTTTCAGCTTGTGCTTATTTGGTAATTCAAAATGCTTGGGATTTATGACAGCTTTTCTTCAAAGGACCCCACTCTCTAGCTTGTTTAATTGCATGGTTTTCAAAAGATTATACATTTTTCTTTCAGAAATGATAGGGATATCGAGGATATCATGCTATTTCTGAGGCTGATACTGCCTTCAAAAAAGCAGAAACAAAATCAAAATTTAGAAAAAATTCTTTTGGTGTTTTTTCGGCATAACGGTGTTATTCAATCATATCCAAGCTTACCCATGAATTACCCGGATTTTCGACACTCTGTGTTGATTGTTGAGAAGACCAATCATTAGGGGATACAGACCTGTGCTGAAGTTCTTCGTCAGGTATTAAGATATCCTAAAAAGAAGTCTAATGTAACGTGACAATTTTCAGTCTATTGAATTATACATATTAAGTGAAACACTGAGAGAAAACACAGAAATTAGACATCCTCACCGTTCTATAAGCGTTAGAATCTTGTTGCTTAAATCGAAATTTCACAATACCCTTCTCATCTACGAAAGCGTCAGTATGTTCTCTAAAAATGCACTTTTTGAAAGAAACTGGTTTTTCACTAATACCTGAGAGCATGAATCGCATAGATAAGGAAAAAGTGATCAAATCTTGTCGAGATCTCTTTGAGAAGTTCTTCTGAAAGTGGATGAAGAGCTCCATGTTTCTCCGAAAAAACTCGCAGCGAGTCTTAAAAGTAAACGTGTGTTTTTATTTCATATTTCAGTGAAACCAAAACTATCTCACGATATTCTTCATAAGGCATGTCATACATAGCTTCTTTGAATAATCTCTCGTGTCTGACCCATGTGCGCAAAGACTTTGCAATATAATTAAGTAGACTAACTTTCTAAAATGAAAATTAGTACGTTTGTTGATTTCACACGCAGCTGTAAGTATTTTAGCGAAAATTTTCAAGGAAAAAATCTAATTCGCGATGTTATATGCCGTAAAGGACCTCAGAGAGAGCGTCCAGGCAAAATCTATGTCCCCCCGATTAGTACCTAATCCACAAGAAGGCCCTTGAACTAGGATATCTAGGTGCTCGGACCCTCTAACGTGGCCTCTGAATGAAAAAAATGGACCTGGAACATTTTTTCACTTCATCGCTCTCATAAGGGCTACGGAAAGGCCCAAAAAAGTGGAAGAGACGAAGATTTGTCTGGATATTGCCAACGAACATTTTATTGTATTAAAGAGGACTGGCGATAAAGGAGAAGAAATGTATATTCGTTCAGATTTCTTGGGATTTGAAGTGAAAAGTCAAAAAAATCATTTTTGGCAACTCTTCATTATCCGCAAAACTAATTTTGAAATTGCAAGCGCTTAAAGAGTCGCTGATAATATTAATTGCGCCAAATGACTTCTAGAAAGGATTAAGTGCTGACCAACCTTTTCAAACGCAAACCAGTCAGATGCAGCTAACAACACTCTCTCCACGTAAACCTTTACTACGGATGTGCGAAGCACTACTATTTCTGTTCTGCAACACAAGCAAAATGGGCTAGCAACAAAATTATGTGAGAAGGTTCAAGCATCACTAGAAATTAAGCTTACTTTGTCATTGCATATTTGCATTGCCTGCAAAACAGTACAATAACTCTAAATTAGAAAAAAAGGAGCTTAGCCTTACCTGTGTCGCTCTCTTGATTGAAAATGTTTCAAAGATCTAGCATATTCATTCAGTTGGGCTACAAAGACAGGGAACTTGGAAACAAGCTCCAAAAATAGCTTTTCTCCAAGTATCAGTCTAGTAATTTCCGCTACAGGAAGATGTGCAATCTGATAGGGATAAGATAAAAGCCAAAGCTTATGTATAAACAATACGTACTTGATAAACTAACGATGAGCAGTCGTTTCCGGATTGCCAATCGTCAAATGTTGGTGTATAGAGATCGCTTAATGGCACACAGCTCTTCATCTTCTGGAAAGCGAAATTATTTTGAAAGCCAAAGAGTAGGATGTCTTTGCAGCACAATTCGCCAGAATACGTCAATTAAAATCTCTTTTGCACGAAGCTCCATCTCAAAATAGCTGATTTTTGGATTCTAACAGCTAATCATCTAATTTTCGTGTGAAAAGCGACAAAATTGGTTCCCACTTCAAGTCAAAAAATTTTAACTACCTTCTTCAAAAATTTTTGATCGACACATGCTAAACCTGTAAACACCTAACCTCGCTTTCAAGTTTATACACTTTCCATTTTAGCTGGTTGAGGCTCGATGCTAATTTGGAATTTCTCGCCAAGAGTGTCACGAAAAATTGAACATTTAAATATTCGTTAGAAAGGAGGTAAAAACTTCTGTTTTGTAAAATAAATGAATTTGTAAAAGGGTTTATGATCTAAAAAATTCGGCTGAAATTTGACATACTCTCTTACAGTTTTCGCTAAATTTTAACTTAGAAAAAGTGTTGGACAAAGCTTACGCAAGAAAATAAGGAAAGAAGAGAACCTAAAAAATGGCAAAATCCGCCTCCTTGGCCCTAGAGCACTCCCCCTATGTACTCACATATAGTACGCACATACGAGAGTACATCCGCTTTCACTTTGTATATGCACTACATGCCAAGAAACGATTGACTAGAAATATAATAACTTCTTGGCTTACTTGATATGTTTAACAAATCAAAACTGCTAGATAAGAACTAAACGTGAAGGCAATCAAAGAACTTCTTTGCAAGTGGAAATCATTACATTAGCTTTTACGTGTGAAACTTTCTTCTAAAGAAGGCTCTTCTTTTATCTGCTCGCATAACCGAAAAAGTTTGTACCTCATCAGACACGCATAGAAGAAACTTGGGGCCGAGAGCATGTACTTCCTTGTCGAATGCGGATGTAGCAAGTGGATCCTGTATAAAAATATACTAACGTTGACAAATTCCGGGACTGCATTTCCTATAAATATATGTCACCTTCAAACGAAAGAATGCGCTTCCATCGTTTGAGAACTTCAGAACTGTTTGATCTCTGGATTTGTTCCATCAACAAGGCTTCGCAAATCTAAAGTGGAGACTTACCTAATGGCGTGCATGCAATACAGCACGAAAAATCGCATAGCATTTGCAAAAAGACATTCCAAAAGTTTCTTTACTTCATCTTCCGGTAATTTCGTAGCTTCCTTTACGGATAACGGATTTAATCGCAACGAACCTGCAAAAGTCTTCATTTAGTTGTTTTCAGGATTCAACTTGCAAGGGAACCATGTTTAACTGAAATGTTTTTAGATGGGATGTAAACCATACCGGAGAGCATCAAAAGCTGATTCCAAATCTGGGTTCCTCATTTGCGGAACGTTTGTGGAAGAGGGAGTATGAGGGTTTATTGAGCAAAAAGAAAAAGTGCAGCTAGATAAAGTAAGTTGCTGAACCTCCTAGCTCTTCAGTAAAGCGACCAAGTGTGCTATCCCTTTTTACGTGAGACTATTTATTGAATGAGGTCTTCTGACAATCACCATTGCTCCATCAAAGGCAGCGTCCAGGCAGATCTGGACCTATGTCATTACGTGAAAAGTAATTTTGTAGTCTTAACTAAGGCGCTGCTCAAGTGGCAGCTCAGGTCGTGCTCTAACGGCTGAGATATTCCCTTTGAAACTAGACCACAGGATCGTATTCGTCGATTCATGGCAATTTCACGCGAGGACCCACGCGTTGCGCCAAGAATCCATGGAAATACGATTCTAGGGTAGTTTCGAGGGGAATATCTCAGCCGTTAGAGCACTACCTGAGCTGCTGGTTGGGCAGTGGCTTATTTAGGGCCCCCAAGTTACTATCCACATGAGAACCTTATGTGTCCAGACTTGCCTGGACGCTGCCTTCAAGCACTAGAAATAATGCACACGTAATTTTATGTCTCAATAAAAGCTCACCTTCTCATCTATGAATCTACGCAGTAAGAAAGGCAGATTTAAAATCAGCGTTTTATGCTTTCCAAGGTGGCATACATCCCATCTAAAAAGGCCATTCTAACTAAACATGGTTCGCTTGTCAGTCAAGTTTTGTGCTTTTGCTTGGCGTACTTATGCCGATGAACTTTTCTTTCCGATTGCGAATCTTGCCAAGTTATAAAAAAAACTTACTACTAGGTTATAACTAATTTCTGCACCAAAAATTTCCAAAAATCGCAAAAATGACTAGTCAACCGCTTTTGTTCGATGCATATAAGGTATGTTGTATTCATGCATATTATAAACTCTGATTCGAACATGACCAGAAACGAAAAGAAATTTGAAAATCACAATTTCTGGTGGTCAAAAAACAGCGCACCATAAAACCTTGTATAAAAATTACATCAGAGGCTACTGAGCATTTTGGCATTATCATCAATCAAACTCCAAAACATTTAATTTGATACGTCGAGTCATTCGTAACTCAATATGCGTAGTGCACACTATACACGCTAACTTACGAACTACGAAACTAAAACCTGCTCATTTCCAGTAATTTTTTCTTGTTCCCTTGTTGCTTTGTTTTACTTAGTTATATGTTGGTTCAGTAGAACACATTTCCATAATTTGTTAGACTAGAAAATGTTTTACTGGGAAGTTAATATTGTAAATAGAAGTGTATATCTGTATATATCCGGTATGTGAACCTACATTTATTCTTTTCCTTTTCCTTTTTGCCTTTTTCCATTATCACTTGTATAATACCGTACGCTTTTTCTTTCCCATACTCTTTGTTTACAGATGGCACAACGATAGCTCGACGCGCAACTATGCCAAGCAGAGGAGGAGTCTGGCGAGTCAGTGAAGAACCTACGACCAGCGAGCCACCACGTCTTTGGGCTCCAATCTCCCATTCTTGTTGTGTTTCTGTTGTTTTCTTTTGCCGGCTTGATATATTTGCGAGTTGTTCATGTTATTAAGATAAACACATCTTGTAAGATTGTGTTAGGTGCACCTTGAGGCGTTCTTTCGCGTTAATATGGTATCGTTCATGTAAGAGGGTGACACGATATCCATAGTAGCAGCGAGTGCGGCCTCGTAGTAGCCCGCGACCCAAACCGACCTTACCTCTTGTAGGAATTGAATTCCTCATGAGAGTAGCTCATGGGATGACCGGTCTAGCCTCAGCCGGGGGTGAATTTGATTGGAAAATTGTGCAGCGTAAAGTCTGGGGGATGGCCACCTACTAGATTCAAAATCTCTCAATTTTCTCTTCAAATCATCTGTCTTTTTGATTTTTTTTTTGTTGGAATCTTGTCGCTGCATGGCAGCACACAAGAAATGAATGATTTTTGTTCTTCACTCAAACCTCGTCGCCCATTTGGGGACCTGGGAGCCAGACAAGTTGAAATAATTGGCCCTTGCTGGCCATTATTCACCAAAAATGTGTGATTTTCACTTGAAAAGATTATTCCGAAAAAATGGTGACATTGCTATTGATATTGTTGTTTCCTTATTACTCTGGGTGTCCTAAGAAACGCACGTTACATCACTCTTATATCATCCAAAACCCCGGTCTTTTTATAATCACGAGTGCCCCCACCCCCACCTTTCCGAGAGGCAGGAGGGCCAAGAGAACCCTCCATAAGCGAGGGATGTCGGCGCATCCCACTTTGCAAGAAGGTTTTGATGGAGGGTAAGCTTGGAAATACAAGCAGTAGTGTGCTGGAACGATTGCAAAGCTTCGGCCCGGGAGGGGAATTGAACCCTCCTTGGACTAGCGAGAGACAGACTCGATCGCCTTGCGCCATCCGCCGCTTATCAACAGGTACCTTCCTGAGCTAATTGATCCTGGTGGCGCCGGTGACCTGACGTGGCGATACATGTTGATAGCTGGCAGGAAACGGCAAGCTAAGCGAACCGGTCAATACATGGTAAGAAATGTGGCACTCATTAGATATCGATCATTCTATTCCAGCCACTTACTTTTCGGCCATTCTATCCACCACGAGGACCTCCAGGATTAGGTGAGTTTTTATCATATAATAAATCCATTTTTTTCGCGTAGAACGCTGTTTTCTTCTCACTTAGTCTCGTTTAGTTGCATTTTTGAGGAAAATGCACCATTTTAGTATAATCTTACTATCTGCTCATTCATGTTACATTATCGCTACTAACTACTCATAACATTAGACCTATCCTTGTCTTGCAAGTCTTTCTCAATAACCTCAATCTTATCCAAACTCCCGCTCATGTGCATTGATTTGAGCAAAACATGATTCCGTGTTATTTTCGCTAAGATCTTTCTTTCTCGTGCACTTTTCTTGAACTTATATTCTTGATCGCAATCTCTCGTATAATTCACAACAAACTCTATCAAATCTTGCATATACTTTTCGTTTCTTGCACCAAACTCCTAAAATTCAAATTCGCAGGCGTAGAACTTTTCTTTATGCACATTTTCCTTTGTCCGTGTCCCAAACTGAGTTTCATTCATGCCATCTCGTTTTTCGCGGCTAAATCACGCAACAAATCTCTCTTTGTCTATCATAAACATAGTCTGCGTGCAATCTCAAGCATTCCTATTCAATGTTTGAATTCCCATTCATGATCTCATGCGAACTTTAATATGTTTTCAAGCGCGATAGCATCTTTGTCCCTTTGTGTGAGAGACTCTCATACAAAGCTTTCCCCTATCTTGGCTTTCATCGAGCACATGTTGCCGATGGCAGAAACAAAGATGCGGCGCGCACAAAGAGCACATACCATCGGGGATAGTATATAATAAGCCGACTTAGGAGACGAGCACCCACTCCAACGCTAAGGATCCGGAGGAGCAACGTCTTCTCCACACTCAAGCCAACATCGCTCGCATCAACACCCGATCCCGGACTACAACACAGGACAACAACGACTCTGCTCGATCATCACCTCCAGAGACGGTAAGTCCAGTTGATTCGGCATTGACTACCGGTGAAGGTATGTCTTCATCGGAAGTTAATGTTCTAAGTCAAGCTTATAGCGGCCTTGCCCTCGGGAAGCTCGCGCCCAAACATATTGAATACTTCTTCGGTGATAGCACCCAAGATTTTAATGAGTGGCATCGCCAGTTTGAAGACATTATGCGCAATTCTGTCGTACCTCTGCCGGAACAACTTAAAGTCAATGCACTTTATGCTATTTTGAGAGGCGACGCGCGCGATATCATTGAAGAAATGGCCCCCGAGGACAGAAACAATTATGATAAGGTAGTTTCGTTTCTACGCTCGCATTTTGAGTTGCCATACTCTCGCGAAATAGCAAGACAAGAACTGGCTGAATGCAAGCAAAGAGCCAATCGTCCGAAAAGTGGTCCAAAGTCTAATGAAAGGGGCGCCTAAGAACATTGTGCAAGACAGACTTTTGGAAGAATTTGTCAATCGCCTAAAACCAGATATGAAATGGCACGTCAAAGCGCAAAACCCCAAAACTTTTGAAGATGCTCTGGTAAAAACAACCACATATGAGTCTTTATGCAACGAAATGTCCGATGTAATGGTATTTAATCCAGATTTACGTACGTACGTCGCAAGGAGAGAGACCGATGACGTCAGGAGAGACTTCAACCATGGAAGGAGAGACCACCCAACCACCAATTCCGGACCGAGAGAGGTAAGACCATTTTCTAACAGATCAAATACCATCATGGCCGCGTTCATCCAATGCGAATGTGACTTGTTACAAGTGCGGAAAAATCGGTCATCTTGCTAATGTTTGTCGCTCTAGTATGCCTCCCCCTAACAACAATTTTCAACAGCGGCGTCAACTTCCAATAAGGAATAATCCTCCACCAAATTCGAATCATAAACAAAGTCCAAGAGAGCGTATAGATTACTCTAGAACCCTTGCGCAACGTAACTCAATCCCGCATCAGCGATCAGATAGTTACGACAGATCCAATGTGCTAGCAGTAGAGCAGACACCAGCGCCAGATATCACTAATGCGCGCACTCAATCTCTTAGAGGAAAAAGATGCTCATATTGCAGCGCTAATCGCCAGAAATAACGCGTTGGCAGACATTGCGTTTGCAACCCGTGAACCAAACAGTTCTACAGATGGCGGAGAAATAACTCTTCGCACATTCTCTTCCACATCCGGTCCTTCTAAACTCACATCCACATGTATGTTAGTTCTCGCTTTGATCGCTCACGCATCTGCATACGAATTACCTCCCGCGTACTTATGTTCTAACAAATCACCTGTCACATACTGGAAAATACCGTCTGGGATCAATTGTACTAAA